CCCCGCGCGCCTCAGGGGGTCCCGCGCGCCTCAGCGCCTCAGGAGGCCCCGCTCCCCTCAGCGCCCCGCTCCCCTCAGCGCCCCTCAGCGCCCCGATCTCCGCCAGGCCCCGCTCCCCTCAGCGCCGGAGGGATCCGGGCCCCTGTTGGACGCTGGGCCCGGCCCTGCCCCGCTCCCCTCAGCCCCGCGCCCCGAGGGGCGGCCGGGCCCTGTCCCCAGCCCCCCGCACTGACCCGCCGCTCGCCGGCCATCGGTCACACGCACCAACCTAGCACCGACTCTCGACCAGCTCTCCTCCCATTGGCTAGCAGCGCCGGAAGGCGGGACCTTCAGCGCCGTCTAGCCAATGGGCGACGGGAATGAGCCGCGGAGCGGGGTTGGTTGAGCGGTCAGCGCCGGGGCCTGTTGGCTGGAGGGCGGGCCCCACTTAAAGGGCCCGCGCCCCCGTCCCGGGCGGGACCTCCCGGAGCGCTGGGGGGAACGGTGGGACAATACACGTGTGCGGGTGGTACCGTCCTAATTAGATACCTTATACTGGGGTCACACACGGCTATAATAAAGCTTCGGGTATCACACTGTCAGCGTGTTGATCACACACACACGGATGTATCCCATCCATAGGCAACTTGGCCCAGTGTTGGGAGCGCGAGGCGCTGCTGGGAGTGGGGAGTCCTTCCCTTTCCCTTTTCCTTTTTTCCCTTTTCCTTTTCCTTCTTTTCCTTTTCTTTTTCCTTCCCCTTCCCTTCCCTTCCCTTCCCTTCCCCGGTGCCTGTGGAGCGGCTGCCGGAGCTGTCGAGGGGCATTCTGCACTGGTATGTTTTCCTTGGCCCCTCCTGACTCGTGGCTTATGTTTAAAAAACAAACTCGGGACAAGCCTTTAACAAGTTCCACATGCAAAGCTCTGCTGGGGCGGGGGGAGAGGGGAAATATTTCCTCATGGCCGGCTGGAGGAATTAACCGGGCACCGCTCGCCCCAAGGGCTGGCGTGAAGGTCTCTCGTGAGGGACAAACCTAGCACTTGGCTCAGCAGCAGGAAGGCCTGGTGGATGGTCTTTGCCCCAAAGGAGATGGACAAACCTACTTCTAAATTAAATGCAAGCTGAGCGCCGTTGCTGGCTATCCCTTCTCCTTCTCTCCTGCAATCTGGGTGCCGGAGGCAGGGAAGGCAAGAGGGGAGAGTATTTCCTCTCCAGCCCTTTGGTCAGATGCAACATCAGTTGGGAAGTGTCACACACTCCAGAGGAAGGAAGGCTCCCCCAGCTTGGACGTTATTTTTTTAAGCAACAGCCGTTGCTTCCTCATGGCTCTCGCTTGCCCACACGTCTTTGTGGGGCTGAGTGATGTCAGGAGGGCTGGAAGGGCGGTGGGAGAGTGGCCAGGCAGGACTGTGGCTGAGCCCAGCAGCCAGCAACCCATCCCCATGCAGGTATTATCATTTCCATCCCTCCAGCCCTGGGCCAGATTGTCTTCTCCTGAGCAGACGATTTTGGGGCTCAGCCAGCTTACGTACATTTCTGACCCAACAGACGATGGATTTACTGTGCTGGAGAGGGCTCTCCAAGCGTGGGGACTAGATGAGACGTGCCAAAATACCTTCCCTGAGCCACTTATAATCTCTCTGTGACTATTGAGGTTCAAAAGTTACAAGCAATAATCACACTTTGTCAAACAAATACAGGTTACTCAGGGTAACCTGCTCAAACCTGGAAAATACTGCTAAGGTGATGTGGAAACGTGGGGGAAACAACCAGACTTTGCTGACAGAGCTAAGTCTGGGTTGGCTTACTTTACCTAATTGTCATTTACTGCTTATTATTCTTCTAACTTTTAAATTATCAGGAAGAATTATTAATTAATCTCATAGGAAGATACCAGGAAATGCAGATAGGAAATTGCTTCATCCTCCAGCTGAAAGATCCTTACAGAATCCTTACGAAAAGGCGGTTTCCCCCCCCAATGTTGGGATGAAACAGCTGGTAAGAAAATCAAGCAAAAAAAGTTTTTAACAGTCAGACTCACAATCATTTCCCTTCTCGGATCTGTCTACACAAGTCGTGAGCATGAAGTACTCGACTGGCATCAGTTGATCAGGAATGGGCAATCTGTCACCAAGATTTAAACATCCCTGAACAGACAAATCTGCAGGTTTCTCTCTGACACGTGCTGACCTCCTTCCTGTCTGTCCAGAAAGTCTTCCAGCTGATCCTAATGGAGAAAGAATTAAAGCCTTAGAACAAAACCCGCCAATTCAGAGCCTTCCAGGCCTTCATTATCAAGTGGAAAGGGCAGAAGAAAGGCCTGTTTCAGTTCTTTTTTTTTCCCTTAATGGGCATTTACACTGCCAATTTGCTTCCTGCCTTTCATGGGAAATTTAAACAGCTCAGGACTTTTTTCTAACCGTCTGTAGAAGATTGTGCAGGGAACAAGTCTGCAGCACTTCATGGAAAGGCCCTTTACCTTCCTTACTTCCAGGAGCCTGACATAAAACTCTAGTGGTGCCTAAATAGGACCTGAATGGATCTTGACAAATTCACTTCAGGTAGGTCCCAGTCTATTTTCTGGTGGTTTCTAGACTTAAGGCATTACATGGACATAAACCACCCCAGCACTGTTTGCCTGAAGCAGCAGGACCCCAGGAACCTGCTGCTGTTGTGGTCCCATGAAATGTTTCTCCTCTCCCTCCCAGCAGTGTGTCTGCAATAAATCTGTGCTGCAAAAGGATCACAGTCCCTGTGAGATGTACACTTTAAATATGTATCATTCTTGAGCTATAGGGCTTTAGAAGATTCCCTTTATCTTAGCCTACAATTGAAGTGGACAATGTGATACGTTTTAACAGGAAAAACAATAGGGAAATGATGGAATTAGTGTCCATTCACTGAGTGAAGCCCTGCTCCTTCTGCCCTCTGGGACATTCAAAACATCATCTTTTACCTTAAAATATTAAACTTGTTCTCAGTTCAGCAAGAAATGTGCTTCTAACAGAGTGGGGTAATTTTACTATTAGGCAGTTAATCCAACAAGGATTTAATACATTGGAAAAAAGCACCACAATAGGAAGCTTTTCAAAATGTTTTAGGTACCTATCTGCTTTTTCCAGGCTTTTCCAGTGTGAGCATCCCCTGCGGATCTTTCCAGTTGCAACAGCTGAAGTTCAGCCTTGTGTCACTTCCCAGCAGCTTTTGCTGACTCCCTGGCCTTTCCTGAACCACTTCCTCAACTCCACACCTCCGAACAGCTTATCCCTCCTGGTCCTCCAAGCTCAACTGCCAGGTTTGTTCAAACCAGAGACACGCGGGTGGCACGTGAGTGATCAGCAGATAACATCATTTCAGACCTGGTCCCCCCATGGACTGAGGGACACGTCTCCTGAGTGGCTTTGTTACTGCAAATGTTACTCCTTTCCAGTGGCTTTGCCATGCTGCAGCTCCACTGATGCAAACTCTGGTCAGGACGAAGAATATGAGAATTCTTAACTAGAAATAAATGTCAGTTTTGTAGGGGAGCTGACGTTGGCTCTGGGCCAGCTGCATGGATGATGTAAACATTCCAAATAATAAGCATATTTTTGTTGTTAGCAGATAAATTGTGAGAGCTGCAGAGCCCCAAACAACTGAAGTCTGTCTGGGAGCTGAATGGTTCAGTCATCACATACACTCAACCAACATCAGGGTCATACGTCCTCTGAATTTCAGGAAGAAGTCCTCCTAACCCTGACTTAACATCAACGCAGAGGGCAACAGAAATGAGAAAATCCGTTCATTTTTGCATAATCCAAAGTAGCAATGTGTCCAGTCAGCATTCACAGTGATGCAAACTCCTTCCCAGGGAACGTCAGAGTCAATCAATTTGGGATAAAGAGACAAAACTTGAATGAAGGTCTTGGTTGGGGCTTTCCAAAGACAGCATAATCTAGAACAGGGCTCTCCTCTTCTGTCCCTGTGAATCCTGTAAACTCTTGCTCAGACCCAGAATTGCTGTTCTCTTCATCACTTTGGTTTTGTCCCTCTTTTTTCAGGCTCACTTCAGAAGAGTTGCAAGTGCCAGACACATATTCCTTGTGCCTTTCTTTGCGTCTCTCTAAGCAGCCTTCTAAGCTCTGCAGTAAAATCTGTTAGTTGGATTTCTGATCACTCAGTGATAGTCTGCCTTCCACCCTTGGGAAACTAATAACTTCATGTGCAACTCACAGAAAGCATTTCCAGTCTCTCTTGCACTGGTATTCAATTAACTCCCCTGCCCAGAGATGGGCTGGTTTCCACATCCACGCACACGTTGCTCGTCGGTGCTAACTGATGCTCAGGCTACAGCTGCTCAGGCTGGAATCTGATGGTTCCCAACTCTCCAGGAACTAGCAGGAGTAAAAATTGCAATTCATAAATCACCAGGGCCATCATTAATTGTGACTTGATCCATGACCTGGGATTAATAAAAGCAAGACAGAGTAAAATCATTCACCTGTTTCCTTCACCATATGGGCTATTAACAATAAAAATGTAGAATGTACGGTCAATAAAAGATGAAGAAGGGGACCCTCACAAGTAGCGAACTGCCATCCTGACACTACGTACAGCACAAGTTAAAAAAATACTTCCTGAGCATCTGCTTCTTAGACCAGCTAATTACGCCTGTCTAATTTAGCAAATACAGGGGAAGGCTCACTGCCATCCTGACACTACGTACAGCACAAGCTAAAAAAATACTTCTTGAGCATCTGTTTCTTAGACCAACTAATTATGCTTGTCTAATTTAGCAAATAACAGGGGAAGGCTTCTAAGCACTGTGAGGCAACAGGAATCTGCTGATTTTTCTGATATTGCTGAATTATATAAAAAAAAAAAAAAGAAAAGAAAAAAGATGAGTATTCCTTTAAAAAAAAAAAAAAAAAAAAGAAAAAAGATGAGTATTCCTTTCTATCTTTATTTCGGTGTTTCCTAGTGGGAGACTGGGAAGGCAGCTGTAGCAAACTACATCCATGTTCAGGACATGGCATTATAGAAATTGCCTCTATTGCAAATAATTTATAAATGCTGGGCTTTGCTCTGGTTTTTGGACTAATGTAGCATAACCAATTTCAGTGAAGTTACCCCCTGTGCTAAGGCAGAAGTATGAGCCAAATATAACAAAATAATACTCTCGCTGGTGTCTGGAGTGACTAATCTTATGTGGGTACTGTGTGTACATTTGATTGAATTATATACACAGCAATAAGTTTAAGAGGTTGATACAGCAGGCACACAACGTGGGGAAGAAAGCCTCAGTTAAATTAAATTAATTATAGGCATATACTTAATATAGTTAATTGAGCTATGGAGGTTACTCTGAGTGCACGTTGGGTAGCATTGGGTTACACCTTGCCACTTCTAATGGTTTCTCCTGCTGGAAGCAGGATTGTCTGGCTCAGCAAGTTCCAAACTCAGCCATGGGCAACTTCACAGAGGAGATCTACCTGGCTGCTCTGGAAGGGTTTTGGGCTGAAACTTAACACTCTCAGGAATGAGCGTACGGTTTAGGTGGTCGCGTCTGGGAAGAAGCACAAAGGAGCAGCCCTGAGACCCACCTGACAGCCAGCTTCTGAGTCAGGGTGTGAGGTGCTGGGTACCCTGTACCCCTGACTTCTTCCACGGCAGAAGCACAGCTCTCACCTCCACCCTCACAAGCTTTTTCTCCTGTTTGTAACACATCAGGTGTTATAATAAAAATCCCAGCTTCATCATTCGTCTCCAGCTCAGACATCAAATTACTCCCACCTACGAGGACTACATTTGCAACGCTCTCACGTACGCTGCCACTCTTGGGAATGAGACTTTTATCTCAGGAACCAGCATGCAGATCTGAGCAGCACTGCTGTCTCCTGGAGGAGATAACGTGTCTTTGCTCAGAGACCTAGTTCTGTGCTTGCCTTCTATCACGCAGCACCATTTGGCAGAGGCTGCCTGGTTTCTGCGATAGCAGACACTGAATTACTTCAGAAAAAACAGAGACTTATTCTTTATATAAAAACGAATGACTAATTAAAAGTGGTTTTAATTTTGCAGTTCACATTTTCTTGGGATTGTGCCAAATTCTGGAGTCCATACTCCACACCCTGTCCTTCTGGAGGAATTTGGCTGGGGAAAGCACTGTAAGATTTGCTCCCTTTCCTCTCCCTTACTCTTAAAATCCCTCCCCCTGCCTTCTCCCTTCCTGCAACTGGTAAATTGTGAAGAACAGGAATGTTCCTGGGAAGAAACCCAGGCAGAATCGCATTCAGAACAAGTCAAAGATTTCTTGCATAGCTGAAGCATGTGTTTGCAATCCCCAATTGCCAGAGCACGTAAGCCCTGCCAGCGCATGTTGTTCCCTTCAGATGTTCTCAGAGAGCTCCAGGCAGTGTCCAGGGCACTCTGTGGACAATGTTTAGCTGAGGCATTGCTCCTTGACCCATCTGCTAATGGTGCCAGGGCCAAAAAGGCTCTTGGTGAAAGGACAGCAAACACCCAACCCTACCTTTCCAAGAAGCTGTGTTGGTGGTGTTCACAGCCACTGCTCTGCACAACCCCCCTGAGCCACAATCTCCATTTGGGCCAGGGAGAGTTTGGCTGCTGCTACCAACCTATCACTCCAGGCATCAGGCAGCTTCCAGGATTGATGAACTCCAGAATAATTAGCATGTGCAGCCCCAAGAAAGTACTGCCCAACCAGTATGTCCAAAAGGTAAATTATAACTGTTGGGAAGCAGTAGATACAGTAACTACAGCCTGTTCTCCCTTCTGCTGGAGAGATGCCACTGACCTGGAGGGAATGTAACTCTTGCAAAAGGTGTCATTTAATGGTTCAAAACTGGAACCTGACAGGGCCAAGAAGGATGGGCATTGGGAGCTGAGATACTGGTTGGAAAAACACAGTTTCCATGTATTTGTGAGGAAGCTTTTGTCCTTGGCACCATGCGGAGCACAGTACATTACAGGAGCACAAAGTGAGCTCTTGCTCAAGCTGGTGCTGATACCGGGGAAAGGCAGGTTGATGAAAGCATCACTTGTCTTTCCAATGACCTTATCATGTGACCTCAGCCTGCCAAGAGCTGTCTTTTGCTCTTCGTGCTCCTCGTGGCCTGAGCCAACAAGGCTGAACGCGCTGTGCTGATATCTGATATCGCTCAGCGTTGCATGGCAGCCTCCGAGCGCTGCAGACGCATCCTTTCGGAGCGGGACGATGACGCCTCTGTGCTTTGCTGCGCATCGCGTGCCTCCATGCCGTCTCCAGCTTGTCTCACTTCCAAACATGTCCAACCTGAACGTGCAATTTTTTGAATATAAGGTGCCCCAGGGAAGGCCCTGAGCTCGAGGGAGGATCAGAAGAGCCAGAAGGGTCTTCCAATGCGAGATCTTTGACCTCAGTAGCGGAGATGTCGTGCTGTGCTTGGCCTGGCTCTCCTGATCAGAAGAGCCAGAAGGGTCTTCCAATGCAAGATCTTTGACCTCAGTAGTGGAGATGCCGTGCTGTGCTTGGCCTGGCTCTCCTACACTCCCAAATAGGGCTCCCACATCTTCACCGGTGCCTGGCAACAATAATGAGCAATAACACATGGGGGCAGCAGCAGGCTTTCCTTTCTTGTCAATCTGGGAGCCTGTGGTTGTAGCATCCTTGCAAAGGTCCTGCAGAACTGAGGTGCTCCAAGATTTGAGGGTCACTGCGCTGGGCACAAGCCCAGAGTGACAGCTACAGCTGATCAAACTGCAGGAAAAGCACGTCGTAGGAGAGAGGGGGCTTTGGGGCCCCGTGGGACAGGATGTCAGCCCTGAAACCTGTGCTTTTGTCATCGCATCTGGTCCTTCTCCAGTTCCTGCAGTCCCAGCCTAAGCAGTTCTGCGCTCATGTTACAAAGCCCATTAAACAGGCAGACAGTTAGAGCATTGTCTGCGATGGCAAATATGGCTGGAGTGAAAATCCCAGGTCTCAGCTCAGGTTCCACTGCATCCCACTAGACCAGCCTCGCTGCGCTTGATGCGCTACGGGCAGGATGGAGCCCTGCATGTCCCTGGCAGCGAGGGGAAACCAAAAAAGATGCTCTTATCTGACTGAACCATGAAGAAAGATGCAGGATTCATCTAATACCATTTATTCTCTTGGAGACTCTGAATGTTCAGGTAGTGGGAAAAAGCCTTGATATCTTGGCTGTGAAGGTCTTAAAAGCTAAGTTTTCAGAGTAGGAACATTTCAGTCAGGGAAGTGGCCATAATTTACATAGCAAGGCTCTGGGATTTTCTGGCAGGGCTATTTCCAGAACAGGGTGTCTTTTTTCCTGCTCTGGGTGAGCTAAATTTCAGGAGTTGCTTGTGTACCTGATATTTGCCTGGTCACTCACATCCATGCTCTCCATTGTGTGAATAATGTGGCATCTGAGTGGTATTGGCCCAAGTTGATGCTGGAAATGGCAAGAAATAAAAAAAAAGCCAGCACAGTCACCAGCAATGATGATGGATTAATTATAATAAGAGATGGAAAACAAAACAGCCCTGTGCTCCATGAGTAATTAAAGAAAAAAAAAAACAAAAACAGATAAATGCCCAGATAGGAAAGGGATTTTTCTGTAACTGAGGCTGCTACTTTAATTGGAAAGTGCTGTTAACACAACTGCCTGACCGAGGCGAGTGCAATAGCACAGCAGGGCTGTTGCAGATCTGCAAGTAAACAGCCGAATTGCATCTCCCAGCTTCAATCTGTGGATTTCTGAAGCCAAAAGAACAGCTTTAAATTTAAAACTTCTGTTGGAGCTCATGCTTCAAGTGGGCCATGTGCCAGAACATGCAAAGTCTTAGGGCATTAAGAGTCTCATGTAGATGAAAAGACAGTGGGGAGTCATTTGAGTTGGCTGGTAATGTACTAATCTATAGCAGGATCTGCCTTCATCCCCTTTAAACCAACTTGTGGGGAGGAAAATTGGAAAAACTGACATTTTGTCACTTGTAATTGTTACAGCAAAAGCTAAGGCTAATCATGGCCCTGACAGAACACCTGTGTCCTGCACACAGCCCAAGCTGGCTCTGCCCTTTCAGTAATTGGGCTGCGAAGTAGCTCCTGAAAATTCCCAAACCCACTAACTGACCACCATTAAGGACATCCAAGCTGCTCTCTTGGCTGTAGTTTTCCATTCACTTCAAACCATAATCTCAGGCAACCTTTAACCATGGGAAAACAGGACAGGTTTGCACTTAACCTTGTTCTTCCAAGGACCTTCCAAGAGTTTTATAAAGCTGTAGGCAAGCAAGGCCATAATGGTACCTCTGTTCCACCACAGTTGTTCCCCAAGTTACAGGGAAATGAACTGGTTCACCCAAGGCTGCACAATGTGTTGGCATGTTCACCACAGCTCAGAATCCCAGCTTTCTGGGGTGAGCACGCATTAAGCAAAGAAAGATGTGTCTGGCTGTCAATAAAGACTTAAAAAAGCTGCAATTGCCAACTGTGAACAGTAGCAAAGTGACACAAACACTAGGAGCATAATCACCAGGTACCAAACAAAGCACAACTAGCCAATTCGGTTTCTTGTAAGGAAAAGAAAGAAGAGCAGAACAATGTCTTTTACTATGTGGGTTGTGTCCCTGCTGGTTAATGCTGCAGCTCCCTGTGCAGGCAGGCCTTAGATGGACAGGCTGAGAATAATTACCAGGAGTCTATGCAATTCTTTGCTGGGACTCTTCAATGCCAGAAGCTGCTTTACAATATTCCCAGACGTTTCCCCAAGTATCCGACAGATTTGACAAAATTAAAGAAACATGGGGCTTGGGCTTCAGGGCCACTGGGAAGTCCTAATTGGGCTCCCAGCTGAGCTGAACAAGGACGAACATTGTCAGCAATAAACACAGACAAATCTTCTTGAATTGGAGCCACGGAATGGGTAAGGGGAACCTTCGCCGTCCCTCTGGATCATGTTCACCACGAGGAGAAGGGCCCCAGTGGGCAGTGGGGGCTTTTATCATAGCGTCAAGGAGGACAGAGCTGGCCCTTGGAGGCTGTGGGAGCCCTTGCCCTCTGCATGCCCACACAGGTGGTGGGCAGGCAGCCTGAGGAGCTGCAAAGGTGGAGGCCAGGCTCATGGGCCCATGGACCGGTCTCACCATGTAGACACCAACCTCGAAGGGAAGACTTTGTAGGTCCACGGGCTAGATGTAAGAAGGGAGTTTCACCATGGTCTCCTTCATGAGAAGTTGATTCTGGGGTCACGCCCATGAGGAGACTTTCAACGTGGTATGTAGGTGCATGGGAGCATGTTGGCCACAATGCACGGCCTTTAAATCTGCCAGGGTCCTGGGGGAGCTGTGCCAGGACCTTGTGCTGCCTCTTGGAGTGCTAAAATCTGCAACAGAAAAGAAAATAAAAAGAAGGGGAAGAGGAACTATTAGTAGAATTAAAGTGACAAATGAGCAGATGAAAGCTACAAAGTGTTGTAGCTTTCACAGACAACCAGGTGGCAGTGGATCAGGTAACCCCCCTTGCCCCACTCCTTAAAATTCAAAACACCCGAATGCTGAGGTCTTGCTAAAAGCAACTGACTGTCCCCTTATCTCATCGTTCCGTGTAACCCAGAGCCTGTGGATAGCAGCCACAGTGAATTAACATGAGCAAAAGTAGCTGGTTTGAATTTGCTCACAGGGTAAAAAAATTACAGGCATATCGTTAAGAAAGAATGAGCACTAATTCTCTCTGTTTATTCTGATTCATTTTGTTTGATTGTGTTTGTCCTAGGAAACATGAGAGCCGGTGGGGATCATATTAGCCAAGAAAATAGAAGAGGAACAAGTTGATAGTTTAGAGTTCATGCAAACATTGTGCCAGTCACTGAACCAGAAAAAAGAAGTTGGCTCAGAGGGAGTCACTAAGTTAAGAAAGGATCTATTGATGAGATACTCTTGGGGAACACTCTGAGAATGATGTGAAAGATAGATGGGAAATGGTGCTGCAGAGCTCAGTTAAGCAATCAGGAGAGAATACTGCATCGTTTGGGTCATCTTCTTTGCTTTCATCCCCATTCTTCCCCCTTTATTACTAGAAAAAAGAGTATTTTTGCTTATAAAAGTCTTTGTGCCTAAAGAGATAACATTGGAGTGCACCCCTGCACCAGTGCTCAACTATCTGGATAGTTTTGCTTCAACTTGCTGGAGAAAATAATAGTAAAACTATTAGCTATGAACCTCTATTTAATCAACATTATCTTGACTTTAAGCATCTACACTTACAAACTCCTTGCTTGTGGGAAAAAAATATGTCACAATGGTTTCAATTTACCAGAAAGCTGCCCCCACCAGCTACTCTTCGTGGAAATGTCAAAGGAAGGAGACCAAGTTGCAGATGGCCAGAGAATACAAGCTATGGCTAGCCAGGAGGAGCAGATGCTGTCAAACGTGGCATCTGGCGAGGTGAGAAAAGCCAGGGCAGTGTCTTGGTCCAGGAGAGAAACCTTCATGCCTTTTTTTTTATAGATGTGATGTGTTTATAGATATTCCCAGAAAGGGGCAGTAGAGACCAAACCCATGAATAGCAAGAGACGTCCTGATCAGGGAGAAATATAAGTAACAAGTAAGAATTGTTTGCAATGTTTCTTTTCCTTGGCATACAGAGGCTCCACAATGTGTCCATTCAGATAAAAACAACGGGACCTGTATAGGCCAGAATGGGGCTGCTTGGTATAGCCCAGTTATCTCAGTCCACTCTGAGATGACTTCCTTCACCTGCTTTTCAGAGGAAGGCACTAACCCTGCCCAAACGTGGACACTGTGTGAGTTGCAAGAGCTGGCACAAGGGTGTGTAATGCATCGGGGAGCACTATATCACACACTACTGAACACTTGTGTCACTACAGCAGTGTGTCGACCTTCAAGTTGGCTTATTAGCAAGGGGAACAATAATAATTTGGGCAAGGTTTACTATCAGGCTCATGAGTACCTAAACCACAGCTTACAATAAACAATTTGGCTTCCATCTAACCTTGGAAGAGAGGAGACAAGAGAAAAAGGGGTGCTTATAGCGTCAAGATTTTCAACAGTTCATGTTGGTATTAGGGTGTACAGCAGGGAAGACCACCTTTACAATCTCTTCAGGCTTTCTTGAACCACACAGAGCTAATCCTAGAGCTGATTCAAGCTGCTGCCTGAAGGAAAAGGCACAGTTATTTACCTGGAGCAAATCCCATGTGCTTTACTTCATTTAAACCACTTATCCCAGCCCTGTGCTTTATACCATTCTCTTGTACTCTCAATAATCCACAATGAAGGGGATGATTTTGCTCGTGGGGATGTCCAGGAGCTCCAGTCATGGGACAATACAACAGGCATAAACCGTGCAGCCAGTCTCTTCCTCAAAGAGTTTCTGGCCTAAGAATAAGCTTTGAAAATATGAAAGCAATGAGGGGGCAATGTGAGGTGAGAAAACAGCTCTCTGCAGCAGAGGTGCTGAGGCAGTAACAGCTTTATCAGGAAACCAAGAACCCTTTCTGGTCCTGCTCTCAGCATAGCTCAACACACCAGCAAATCTGGCTGCAGAGTGAAATCTTGGCTTCCCCTGAAGCCAATGGCAAACATCCCACTGGCTTCAATGGGAGCAGGACTTCATGCCAGATCTCGTGCTTCCCATTCCTTTGCTGTAGCCATGAGAGCAAGCTTCCCTTCCAAGGCTGTGTCTGCAGCTAGGGCCTTCAGGAGCAGAAGAATGGCTCTCCTTGCAACCTGAGAAGTATCAATGGGAAATGAAAGGCTTCTTTTTAACAGAAATGGCGATTGCCCTGGTGAACAACTTGCTCAGAGTTATGGGGCTCTCTGGACCCCCATTTCTTTCTCTCTGAAATCTTTCCTTTAGGCTTTAACTGCCCACCGGGTGCACAGCAGCTCAAGCACACAGCTTTTGGCTGTGATGAAATCACAGGTAAAGAGAAATGCTTTGAGCTGGCACAGCAGCTCAAGCACACAGCTTTTGGCTGTCATGAAATCACAGGTAAGAGAAATGGTTTGAGCTGGGTTATGCAGCAACACTCATCTTTCCCAGTCTTAACATCCCTCATTCCATACCTGCTCATGTAGCAGGACCTATACATAGCGTGACTTACCATAACACAGCAAACAGGCAGGAGAAGACTTCGTTGTCCCACTTCTGCTTTTATCACAACGGAGCTGATGTCTGTTGGAGGAGATAAAGAAAGGGATGCTGGAAGAGCTGTGCACTGACCACACAGGGCTCGACGTTTGCTCTGGCACGAGTATCTCTGCTGAGATGAGCATCTTGAGATCTCCAAGCTATTTGTGAGGTGGTAAGGTCATGGCTCTCATTTCCTTCAAATCTTTGCTTTCCTTGGCAAAAAATGAGAATTTTGTTAGGGAAGTCTTGGTGAGTGTTTTGTGATCAGTCAAGCACAGCAGATTACATTACTGGAGGGTGTATACAGGACCTCCCGTCTTCTAGACATAGTAAAATGAGTCTGTTTGCTCCAGAAATTCAGGAGTCACCAGCATGGTGCTGACCACCTGTATTATTTCTTAGCTCACATAGCATGTCTACTGGACAGATTGATGTCTGTACAGCTGACTGTTTGCATATCAATTCTAGAGGCAAAGGAAATTCTTCAAATCCCAGAGCACAAATGTGCACTGCTACAGAAAAGCAGGTGGAGATGTGCCAAGTTACAGCTCCTCAGTTGCTACCCCTGTAAAGAATGCCCTGCAAGGAAAACTGGAAAATATTTCATGAAAGAGCAAAGATAACACAAGACTATCTGGCAAAGGGTAGAATTTAATATTAATGGCTTTCCTTTAGTCACTCTATTTCCTGTTCCTAACTTAACCCTCTAAAATCAGCAATGGTCAGAGAAGGGCTATAAACCATTGCACATCTACAAGGCCTTTCACTGAAAGATCTCAGAGCACTTTGCAAATATTAGGGACTGTTGAGGGATGGCTATCCCCTGAGGACACAGCACATGTAGCCAATGGGCAGATGCTCCTTTGGCTGCAGAGGCCAAATACTGAAATTTGGCTTCTGCCCACCTCTGCAGGAACACCTTCCTTCTTTGTCTGCCACTTCATCACAGGAACTCACAAAATGGTAGGAGCTGGGCTCCCCTGGAATTCACACTCCAGACTCGGTGTGAAAAAGCCCTTCCCCATGGACAGATGGGTAACAGACGCACAGCACTGATGTGACTGGTGTAATTTCAGCCCTTCAGCCACTTCAGGATCTTGTCCCTGGAGGTCCTCAGGGTTGCATGGAGACTGCTCATGGCTGTGCGTGGCTCAGCTGGTGGTGTATCGCAACATCTCCACTAAACAACAGCCCACTGAAGCTCACTTTGAAAGTGAGCTGGACTAGCCCATTTTCCCCACCCTTCCCTGCCAACTGGGAACCTGGAGGGGTCCAAATATTAGCCAACATGGAAAAGAGATCCACAACATGGCTCCTCTGAGTCCCACGGTCCTTTGGTCAGAGGAGATCCTTCTGTGCCACCCACATCTTCCCTTAACCTGGCAACGTACCTGAATTGCTGAGCTGACTTGCCAAGAGAGATTTAGGCTGGAAACATCTCTAGAAAGATGGCTCTCATTAAGGGCTGAGGCCTACAAAAACAATGCTGGCGGGGGCACACATTAAGGGCTGAGGCCTACAAAAACAATGCTGGCGGGTGCACGGAGCTGGGGAGAGAAGCATTAGTCATCGCCTGCCTCGCGTTCGGCCCTTTGGACAGTCTCCTCTTCTGGAAGATGCACTGTTTTGCCCGTGTGACTGTTAGCAGAAACTAAACGAGCAGAGCTGGTTGAAAATTTTCCATCAAAACAATATTTCTGTTTTGCCAGAAGATAGTTTAAAAATTAAGTGGAAAAATTAGAGAAAAGAACCTGGGTTTTGGCTGACATTGTTGGTCAAAAAAATCCCAAACTTGAGATTTTTCAGCCAAAAATGGAAGTATTCGGGGTGAAGCAGAAGAGGAGTCTGGCAAGTCTTAGCAATACCCTGACAAACATCTAAGAAAATAAAATTTTGACAAATATGATGATGTTCTTGTCAATTTTTTTCCATAGTGAAAGACACTTCTGCTTTTGGAACCATTCTACAGAGAGCCTGGAAAACAAACAAGCAAATATGCTTTTTCTTTCTTATACGTATGGTTATAGATAATCCATAGCTTGTAGTCCAAGCATAGGCAGTAATTCCTCTAGAGATACCTAAGAAAGACCTGATCTCTTGTAGGATCTGCCCACAAACCTACTACCCAAAAAGTGTAATTCTTAGAAAGGGACACACACAGAGCTGATTCTGCTGTGAGTTTGTACAGCTGATGGAAAGTCTCGATAACCTCGCAGTTGCCCTGCATACAAATAAACCTGAGCCATGGGGACAGCCAGGGAAAAGGCATTGCTTGTGAAGGAAGGTACTGTGCACACAGCTGTTGCAAAACCATCCTCACTCAATAGTCAGCCAGCCACAGGCAGTGTTGTTGCTAATAACGTTGCAGAGAGAATGGCACATAAATACCTGGGAACCCGCAGAAAGCTGTTTTCCATCTCGCTTACACAATAACGTGGTTTTTTCTTTTTCCCCTTTAAAATTGTTTCTTCAGCAAAACATGGTTGGGAAAATAAACAGCTGGAATCTTCCTTACCCTGTGGGAAATGTTACTGACAGCATTTCTTGGGCTCAGTGTCACAGACCCCTCCTCAAGGTATTGTTGGCTGGTATTGTGAAACGATGCAGGGAAGAAGCTGTGAGTAAGAGCTTGCCAACGTCTGGAGAGAGCAGCAGTCTGTTAGCTCGAGCAGGGCCCTCCTTCCTTGACACAAAACTGGGCATCAAGCAGATCTGATGGTGCTGAAGCCAACGCTGCGCAAACGGCACCGGAGGTGAATCAGCTCTGTGAGAAAACCGAGATGCGACACGATGTTATTAGGCAGTGGGGAGCAGGGTAGGTTGGAATTATAGTGATTTCCTAAGGAATTAGACCACGATTCTGGACAGGATTTATATTTGAGACAACACTTAATTTTTTTTAAAGGTCGAATTCAGTCTAGATGTGGATTTCATACCTTTTCCTTAACGAGAGCAGCACCAGGGGAAGCACGCTCAGAAGTACTGACGTGTCCTGGCAGGGGCTCCGACTGCTGCAACTCGCCTTGCTGACAGCCCCAGCTTGACTCTCGTCCCACGACAGCCCGGGGTTACAGTCCCGGCGACTTCCACCACAAGCAGCTCTGGCTCAGAGCCCCCCAAGTGATAAAAGACTTCTTGTGCGATCATCTCAGGAGGAAAGTTCGGTGCCAAACAAAGCTGCAGTCTGGTTGGGTCTTTTTTGCCATTAGAGAAAGAATCAAGGGGAAAAATGCAGAGCTGGGGAAATAGATGGAAGCTGCAAAATGTTCAAATAATGTCTTTTCCAAGAAAATGAAAAAAAAAACAACAACGCCACCCAAGAATGGCTTGTCTGGCTTTGCTGGCCAGGCCGTGGTTGCACTGATATTTGTGCAACCTAAAGGTCCTGTTAGAGGATACCCCCTTTTCAAGGGTTCATCGACAGCCTGAATAGTCTCAGTGCCTGTCTCCAGGACGGCTGCACAATGGTGCTGGAGTGTGCAGTGACCTTATAGAAACTGTGGGTCATCCTTCAGCAGCTGATGCTTTTTGGGGCAGTGGAGCCAGCCCTACAGACTGGTGACCTACTATCGGTGCTCTCCTCTTGCTGAACAAATGAGCATTTCCCTCTCTGCCAGCCCACACTTTGAGCAGTATCCAGGCTTGGGGCTGGATCTTGCAGCCCCATTTCTGCAAGAGGCATCTCTGAAGTGATGTGAATTTTACCCTTTGCTACTTCCAATAACAAAAAGTGTGTATGAGGATATAAAACCAGTGGGGAATATCCCCTTCCCTCCCCTGCCAGTGCTGTAACCACAGTACAGGCTCACTTACTCGATTCAGAAGCAGCCTCTGCTCATCTCCATTGCTGTTGCCAATAAACCTCGCAGTAACCAGCTTTTTCCCCAGGACCACCTCTGGTCTGCAAGCTCCTGAGAGAAGGACCATTTCTTTGGGCACGGCTTTCCAGCATCCTCATGTCTAGGTGTAGCTCCTAAGTGCTGCTGCACAAAGAACATCAAATCATTATAAAAGACCTCAGAAAAAAAACCAGCCAGAAAGCAACAGTGAGTGGAGACATGAGGCTACTACAGGAGTATGATGGGAAAAATAGTTTTCTTCAGAGGGCTGAGGGAGGAGGTGAAATGTGCTTGAACAGATGAGGGGAGGTATTTCGTATAGACTGCAAAGGTGGTGATGTTTCTGGGGGGTGCAAAGCAAGTTTGTGGGAGAGAAAGCAGCTGCAAGCAGAGCAAGAAGGGAAAGGGACCACGATCATGCAGGGAAGGGAAGGCCACGAAGCGTGACCTTGGGGAAGAAAGGAGGAAGGACGAGGCAAGTTACACTGAGACTGCTATAAAACCCTGAGGCTTGGGAGAGGCTGGAGATGCCAAGGATGCAAGGGCTCACCTGGAGACTGAGTCGTGCCAGCAGCCAGCCCCACACACAGACGTCCTGTAGGTTCCACCATGGTGAGCGTGCAGAGTAGCTCTCTCCAGAGGTTGAAGAGGATGCCAAGGCCTGTGCCATGACCCAGACAAGTCACACTGGAGGCTCCAACTCCACCCAGGCCACAGAGGGATCAAAGGATGAAACACCCAAACAGGAGCCTTTCACAGCCAAACAAGAGGAGCCGAGGGAAACCACAGCTTTCAAGAAAGCCCAGCTGCTTCTCTCCAGCCCAGCGGCCGAGGTGGATACCTACCCCAGGCCATGTGGAGCCGGCCAGCATCTCGGCTGTGGTAACAGGCAGGGAAAACACATGCAAGCCCCAGACATCAGCTGCAGGACTCTGCTAATTGGGAAAGTCTGTCTGAGTGTCTGGCCACCATTTGGCAGACACGGCAGCTCTGACAAAATAATGAATGTGGTACAGTGCAGCCTCCAGGCACTCTTCGTGGGGTCTGTCACATGAAAGTGGCATGAAAGGAGACGAGGCGATGCAAGACACATGGAGGTCAGCTTTGGAGACTCTCCAACTACCTTCTGGGTAGTTACTGCTAAGGGGAGTTTGTGGTCCCTCTCTGCTTACTCTCCTGCTTAATCTCTCCTTTTACAGACAGACAGTTCTCCCCATGCAAAGTGAAGATGCTTCAGTCCTGCTTGTCCAAGGAGTTATGCTGTTAGAAAGTCTCTCTCCAGGCAGACCAGCCCATTTCTAAAGAGTGTGAAGAGAAGCCAGAAACATCATAAAAGGACAAAAAACCCCAAAAAACTGCACACAGTAAAGATAACTGGTCTTTGTGCATAAGCAGTGTGTGAGGAACTCCTGTCTTCCTACTGACCTGCATCCAAATCAAGACAAACAGAAGGATGCTGAAGTGCAAGTTATATGGAGAAGTATTATCAAGTGTGTTCAGCACAGGTCCAAGTACTTGCAGAAGAAATACTGGTCAGGAGCAGTTCCCATAGCCTGCCTGTTTCTGGGAGCACTATATTCATACAACAGCAGGACAACAAGTGAAGAAAGGAACTTGCCAGCAAGGTAAGGGCTTCCTTTCTTACACCATCAGAAGAGTGAGTGCATTGAAGGTGACTGCATCTGGCACGATTCTTCTCTGCCTGGAGCTCCACAGCATATTGGTGCTTGTGCTGACACTCTTCAATAAGAAGAAAACATACTTTTCTTAGTGGACCATGTGGTGTTTGGGAAAGCACAAAGTAACTTGCAGTTTTCACTCCACCAAGAGAGCAAGGTCCTCCAACATGGTGATGGCATGGGGTTGACACTGGGGTACGGTAATCCATATTGAGCTTTTTTGGAAAGAAATTTCCTTCCAGAGAAATCAGGGTCCTACTAGTTTGCTGCATGGGACCAAGAGACAGCTAAGGCTGGTGTGTACATCAGGACTTGCAAGAGAGCGAAGGAAGCAGGTGGAGATGGTGGAGGCAGAACTGAACTCCAAGCGCTGAGGAGAGATTATACTTTCCTTCTGGTACTTCTACGTCAGAGCACCAGAGCCATCTGACCCCACCTGGCTTTAACCATCTTGGCTGAGGTGTCTTGAATAAAAAGACAACTCAGATGACAGGGAAGGACAACAGCTTCAAACCATCTAGTTTCTTGGTTAGAAGATGGGGATTGGGAATAAGAGAAAACCAGCAAATTGCTACATGCAAAATAGGCAAACTAAGTATATAAGCCTACTGGATTTATAGAAGAGATATTGGAACATACCAGGAAAATTTCAAGCCAAATGTATGACAACATTCCTTACACCCCTCCCACCCATTGCCATATCCCAGCTTAATGTAAAGCCTTTTGGCTTCCAAAGGCTTACAGCTATGTTTTATTGTTTAAACAGGTCAACAATTGCAATCATATGTCGACTCCAGGCAAAACACAAACACGATGATGTGTTAATACACAGCAACACTTGGATGGAGTTTCTACAATCTTGCCGCTGTTAACGGTACGATGGCAGCTGGGCTGGTATCTCCTAAGGCTGCCTCTGAAAACTAGGAAGCCTATCAGTATTGTGCCATTACCAGAAGCCAGCATGAGACCAGTAAATGAGCTCTATTTTTAGGATAAACTCCCTTTCTGGAAATCATTTGGAGAGGAGGACTCTCCCACCAACCATACTTAAGGCTGCTTTAGAAAGGTGCTGCTCCCATCTCCAGGAAGTGTCCTTTTAACAAGAATTGAGCTGGAATGGGATACGGATGAAGGCATCTTTGTAAGACAGGATGGGAGAGGATCCTACAGGCATTTCTGCAAAAAACAGCTTCACCATGCTGGAAGGGGAAATTAAATAGTACAAAGAATCTGGCTAGTGCCTACAACAAAGACATCCAAAACACTTGGCTCTGAAGTAATTCTGTTTATTTCACACCAGGGAGGTGTGCAGCTAGGTTATGTCGATACCTTTCCAATGGATGGGAAAATTGTGCTCCAATATAAATTCCCACATGCTCAGCAGCCTTCATTGTCAGGTTGGGCCTGTGGAGCAGCTCCCATTAAACATACAGCAAGCTGCCACTTCAGCTCAGCTCCAACATACATTGAAAGCAACCTTTCTCAAAAGCACTTGCAAAATGTCCCTCCTGCCATGCATAAGCATTTCTTCCCCTCAAACAGAGACGGGCTCACATTTTCCAGACAGGCATTTTCTACTGTTGTGTCACTGACCACAGACCTTGCAAGGCATTAATCAGGTATTAACATTCTCTGCGCTTTATTTTGCAACCCGACCGGGACAAGACCCATCATTTCTTGATTTGTTAGCACACTGGGAACTGTGAGATGCCAGAATTTTAGTGACAAATGACCCTTTACACCTACCACAGCTATCAAACAGTTGGCCTAGGCTTAACCGAATCCCAGTCTCAGTCCAGTATTAGACAGATGCATAATGTACTACTTACAGCTTCACTCCTTTCTCTTAGTTTTCAAACTAGCTATTTTGTCTTTTCTATTTTTTTTCAAGTTCAGAAACCTTATTAAAGTTGTAATGGAAAAAATAAATTTATTATTCAACATACTCAATTTTTTCAAAATGGAATGATCCTCTTTTCTTTTTTTTTTTTTTTTTTTGTATTAACATTCTCTGCGCTTTATTTTGCAACCCGACCGGGACAAGACCCATCATTTCTTGATTTGTTAGCACACTGGGAACTGTGAGATGCCAGAATTTTAGTGACAAATGACCCTTTACACCTACCACAGCTATCAAACAGTTGGCCTAGGCTTAACCGAATCCCAGTCTCAGTCCAGTATTAGACAGATGCATAATGTACTACTTACAGCTTCACTCCTTTCTCTTAGTTTTCAAACTAGCTATTTTGTCTTTTCTATTTTTTTTCAAGTTCAGAAACCTTATTAAAGTTGTAATGGAAAAAATAAATTTATTATTCAACATACTCAATTTTTTCAAAATGGAATGATCCTCTTTTTTTTTTTTTTTTTTTTTTTTGGGTTTTCATGTACAACTGGTTCCATTCAGTTTGACTGTTTTTATCTTTTCTATTTATAACCAGCACCAAAAAGAAAATTACCATGGATACAGTACATATGCAAATTAGCTAATGGAAAAATATATACATTTCACTCTGTAATGAAAAACTTAAATGATATTATTGCCATGGAGAATATATCCCTGTATTATAATAAAATATCAAGCAATAATCGACTGCTAAGATTCTTTTCCACCAACAAAAAATAGCACCATACATGAGATAGTGAGAATCTACACTCAATAACACCATTGTGCAACTAGAAATGTACAGTACTTTAGTAACAGTACAGAGTATTGTTTACAATATGGAAATACCACCACTGTAATCAAAAGAGCGTCAATCTCTTACGAACAACTAAAAGAAGTATTGTCATAGATACATGGAAACAAACAGCTTTCTTTTCACCAGTATGTAGTAACTGAGGGCAGAGCATAGCTGTAAATTCATAGTAAAGCTCCTATAAAATAAAACAGAAGTGCAGGAGTATTGAACAGAATTAAACTTTTTTTATTATTGTTATTTTTCTGGCTATTATAAAATGGGAAGATTGTCACCATATGAAGTAAGAGAATGTAATAAAGTGGAGCTGTGTTGTGCCATCAGTTTTTAATTAATGTTGGTTTCTGATTATAAAAAAGAAAAAGGATGATGCACGCTAATCTGTGGGCTGTGAGAGCAAGTGAAGGCTTTTTTTCAGTGCTCAGACATTTCAAAGAATTCCTTGTAAATTCGTTTTCTTAGGTAGGACCGAGAACTTGGACTCAAGTGTCTTTAAGTCCATGACCTAGCATACTGGGACAGGCCACAGGTCTAGCTACCCTAGTATCCTGTTCTGGACAGTGGCCAGTAGTGAATTATTAGTGAAAACCATAAGAATTAAAATCCTTCCTCTCCTATGCACCTTTCTAGGAGCCCACATTTTGCCTAGAGAGGGTGACAGATCAGCACCGGGAGGAAAAACGAGCCCTGCTATTTAAAAGCACCTTTGATTCCCATTAATAATAAATGCACATACTAGTCTTCCAAGATAAGAGAGAAGGGCGACGGCAAATCCTTCAACAGCCCAACGTGAGTATTAGTAATGCCAAAAATGATCAGGAAGGGGGTGGCATTTCATCAGGCCGGGCCACTTCATGGGCAAGAGTTGCCCGTTAAAAGAAAAACAGTGAACTCCAAACAAGCGAAGGACTAAGGGGACCCATCTCAGTCAAACTGCTGGGAGGTGGTGTGGTGGCAGCAAGGACAGTCGCAGCCCTGCTGTACAGGGTATCACTGTGGCATTGGCTACATCTTCCCTGTCCCCCCTGCCAGCAGCATTTTCCACTGATTACTTGCTAAGTAATTACACAACCTCCGCGTTTGGGCTACAGGGTGGTAATAACAGAAGAAGGAGGTCTGATCCTGACTACAAGATGCCAAAAGAACAGCCAGTATAACAAAAAAAAACCAAGTTGGAATCATTTCCCTGATAGAGAAAATCATCTGGGGCACTGGAAAGCAGATCCGTTTGAGACAGGCACTTGAGAAAAAAATTGTGTGCAAATGTGCCTTTGTGCACACAGGCCAGCCCTTGTGTGCACACGCGCCCATTTGCACTACCATTCACAGATTGAGTGTGAAGCCCACACAGTCTGTTGATGAACATTAGCTCCTTGTGCTTGGAAAAACTTAGCCCTTAATAAAATGCTAATGAGTTATTCCAGTGGGGTTCTGGATATTGAAAGGATTGTAATAAGGAAGAAAAAATTGCTTTAAAGATATGTTAGGTACTAAGAGTCTTTATTCCTCCTTGCGTTGCCAAAAAAGAGGCAACAGCAACAAAGACGACTTGAGGACAGGTATGAGCTGGGACCCAGACTGGCCCAGGGGCTGGGGGCAGTACCTGGGGTTCGTTCCGTGCTCATCTCCAAAGAATAAAACAGTAACGCGCAGGTCTAGAGCGAGTACAAAGCTGCAATTCATCCAAACGGCTCTGTTCGTGTCATGAGGAGTGGGCTGTAACTTAACCACTGCACAACTGGCCTTGGACCCTGGCAAGGAAAACGATCCGTGTTGGAGCAAGATATGATAGAGAGACATTGATCTGTAGGACTAACGGAGGGGACAAACTCTGCCCTGGGTAGAGCTCCCGTTTCAAGTCTCACATCTCGGAGAGGAGTTTGGTTTAAAGTGCAGAGACGTGGAAGGGAGGATCATGTACGCAGCACTTGCTAAGTGCTCTGATAGCACCAATCTGATAGCACCAAACCTGATAGCACCACTGAAGTAAGACAGGAAACATTAAAATACAGTCAGTAAAATCCTAACCCTTACTGAAGGCAATGACAGGCTTAGCCTTATGGCTTCAACAAGCTCAAGATAACACCTTGAATGTCTTGTATCCCTGACTACTTTTGACTCAAAAGGCTACATAACCTCAGATGTATGCAGGAGCCAAGAGATAGGAAACCCCTGTTCTGCTCTCCACTCCGTCCTTCACTCAAAGGCTCTTCCAAATCCTGTTTCTGTACCAGCCCTATCCAGTTTCATGGTCCTCTTAAATAAACCACATTCAGTCTCATTATCTGATTGACTTCTAAAAACTGGAGAGAGATTAGGCTGAACAATCCCTCAGTAAGCTCTACTGGATGAAATGATTTCTGGCTTCTCACATCTCATGTAAATGGTTCTTGCTTAAAAATAACTATCTACTGCTGTTAATAAGCTTCCATTTCATTAAGCTCAGATAAAAATTAAGTTTCATAAAAGAAACGATATTATTCTGGGGAAAAGAGAGAGAAGATCATTATTTTAAATCAGAAAGAAGAGCAGTCCCTATTAGTTGCTCTAAAAGTATGACTTGGAATGTTGGATATAATTGTACTGAGTTTTCTGCAGGAATTTCAGAGATGTCCATTCTCTGCTATCAGTTTTCACAAGCTTTTACAGCAAATCCTCTCTTTAAATTAAGCCTTTCATTTATGTGTCACTCCAAGCCCACTCCACAGTGGGATAACTGCTGGGAATTGAAAACACCAGATGAAAGCCAAGATTAAAAGATTAAGTAATGTCTCTACCTTTGCTGAATTATTTTGCCAGAGGCCTTCCTCCATGGAGGTACCCATAACCTTAGTCACTGTAATCACTTTGCAACTCTTGTCCTGTAATGGTAGCAAGCCATCCAGTGGCTGGTGATTTAATATATTAAAGTAAAAAGCATTAATGAAAAACGTAAGGATGTCAAAATATGATAAAATGATTTGCTCCTTGAGATGACTCTTTCTGTTTGGTTTTTTTTTTGTTTGCTTTTTTTTTTTTTTAAGGTGGATGAGTGGATTACTTTGGTATCCAGTCTGTAGAATTAGTTTCAAGTCTTATTAGGTATGCTTTGGAATCCACCACATTGTAGCAACTCATGAAGTTCCAGTACTCAGACCTACTAGTCCGTGATTTACATACAAATAGCTGTAATACCCTAGAGAAGTAGCACAGGTTCATTAACTCTTCTGCTGCATCTTGTTTGCATAAAAGTCTCTGCAAGTCTGGCAACAGCGCTGATACCACCGCATGTCTTGGCACAGATTCTTCTCCCGGATCACCCTGCAGTACACTGTCCACTGGTCTCCTGTGCACTTGTACGTGAGAGCAGCTTTGGAGGAGAAAAGAAAGGAGAAACTAGCAGATTAGCCAGAGAACAGCATCGCGGGTGCGATCAAAATCACTGCATGTGAGGGAAGCAATGGCCAATCTTGCTGGAAGCACTGGAGATCAGATGATGTCCTTCCTACCGAAAATACCAGGCTCTTGGAAGTGCTTTCTGCAAGGGTGTAGCTGGACATGGCTGGGGAGCACAAATCTCCTCATGTTGTATTTTGTCTCAGTGACACAGAGGCCCAGATGAATAAAATCTCTAAGGTGTGGGCCTCGATTTAAGCACGTGAACAGCTCTCAGCAAGCAATGGGAAGCTGCGCGCTCCCAGGGAGAGCACTCGAGCTGTGCTAGGGAGTAGCAATCATCCTCTGGGGGGAAAAGGCTTTTACAGAGGAGCAAAATCAAAGCCAGTTTGATGGAGGTAAAGCTAAATTAATAGTAAAAATAATACTTCTTAGTGTAGCAAAAAGAGTAGGACAAGAGTTAGTTATTGGGAGGGAGGAATGGACAGCAGAAGCTGCCTCAGACTGACAAAAGGTTTGTGCAGGGTGAGAAAGCAGCACGAAGACACCGGTGCTGAATTTGTTGACAACAACATTAAAGGTCACAAATGCTTTTATAAAAAGCCATGGTAGTGAAACTGTGCACTTGATAAAAATGCACACACATAGTAAGTGTTTTTTATGGTATGTGATTTATAAATTGTACACAGGATTCTTAGAAATGCTGTGATAACTGGAAAATCTTTTCAATTAATATTGTGAACTCTGAGTTTGGGAAAAACGGTCTAATTAAAGAACATCAAAAGGTGCTGGCCCAGCAGCATCTTGAGTCCCTTGTTCTTCATCTCTGCCTGATGAAACTGGGAAAGGCTCTTATCCTGTGTTTAGCTGTGAGTCTCAGTGCCAAGCACCAGAAAATGATGGCAGCAAAACCGGTAGGTTTGTCACTTGGTTCAGTTGGACAAGAAACAAAAGTTTGATAGAATCTGATGAAATGAAGTTGCACTGTCCCAGGAAAAAAAAGGGAACATTAAGCCAATTTAAAAAAACTGATAGTGAGAAAAAAGCCTTTGAGTGGAAGTGACCATCCTAAATGGGAGGAGGGTAGACCTACTGCTGAGTCTGCCAGCAGTGCAGGGGTTATTTGAGGGGGTCAGATCTGCAGCACCCCCCACTAGCAATGGTTCCAGCCAGGCACAGCATTCAGAAAACATGATGCATCTGAATAAATCAAATATCTTGCAAGAACAGCTAAGATAGACCTTATGAATCTGAAATGAGAGGCTTTATATATTAGAAAGACACTGAGCCACAGCCACGGCTAGGCCTCCAGTATTGCAGAGGTCCAAGGTTGCTCATGGGTTGTGAAGTAAGACATGTAGGAGTAAGACATGTAGACTTACATGAAGTAAGCATGTCTAGAAAGCAACATGGGTCAGGTGCCTGAGGAACAGAATAAACCCTCTCTGAATTTGTCATCACTGAGGGACACTGGACACAGATGTACAAGCCAGTTGAGGTGAACCCCACACTTAGATACTTCTGAAAATGTTACCTGGGATGAAAAACATGTCCATGGAGTGGACAAGGCAGCATGGGTTTTGTAGATTACTGGAATTTTTTTCTGTATAATTTTTTTTTTTTTGGTGAGGTTTCCATTGCAGAAAACAGAAAATTTTGTTTAGAGATAATCCAATGAGAATTTGTTTATAAGCAGGAAGAACAAAACACTCAATGATACATCTTTCTGCTAATATTAAATATCATTGTTTCAGGCCCTGGTGATTCCAAGCCCAGTTTAGAAACAAAAGCATCCCAAATTACTTGCAGATTACTTTCAGCAGGGACTTGAGCCTCCTCAGTCTTCTAAACACGTGAGCTTTTTATTGCTTTGTCCTAAAATGTGAATTAGGATGGATTTCTTGTCTCATCAGTGTATCAAGGGCTTACAACTCAAATGAAATGTTTTCCTTCCACTATGCTCTTAGTGCTAAAATATCTGGGAAGTACTCTCATATGTTCTTTAAACAAAAGGGGTTAGGAGCTCCCCAGTACGACTGCATTTGCAAGAATAAAATTTCCCATATTCTTCTAAACATTTGTTACACTTTTGGGAAACATATTTCAGTTCAGAAGCTTCAAGTCCAGTCCTAGTTTGAGTGTTATTTAATACTGGACAGTGCTATTAGAAAACAGTTCTCCATTACTTAGCAGCTCTGCCTTTTCACATGTATTAGAGGCTTCTTAGTCTACAAGACTGGCTCTACTGGGAGGGTGGAGGCTGTTCTTTCTGCTAAGCTCTTAGCAGCATTGTTTACAACCCAGTCTCTTGTACTGGAAAGTAATGGGAGGCACCAATGAGGCTGTCAGTGTAGCTGATGGCTTAGTTTAGCTTCATCTTACTGGTGATGATGTGTGAAATGTAAAGAAACCAGCTTGGTTCTTGGAGCTGTGGCTGAAAACGCAGGACTGAAGTTTGGAAAAATGTATTTTTATCCCCTTATAAACTTATGTGCCCCTTATGAACATAATCCCCTTATGAACAAATATGATGTGGAAAATCATGGATTCCCACAATTTTGTATTAACAGGAGCATTCTTAACTAGAGCCATTTCTTAAATGCAGTGTTAAGGTGTTTCAGGAAACAGATGGCTTATCACCATACTCTCATCTCAGCCAGGTACACAGGGGATGCAGGGAGGGTGAGGAGAAGGACAGTGACAGAAAATCAAAGGTTCACAGAGAGATGCTCTCTTGCCTCCCTGGGCAAACTAATTTATCAAACCACATTCTTGTCGCAGCAAATGAAAAGGAAAAAAAAAAAAACAACAGTGATGCTCTGTTCGTCAAGGTCGTGTACTTTTCTTGGGGCACGGATGAATAAATTATCACTTTACATTCACCACAGTGAAAACAGGGTGTGAAGGTGTTTGTGACAGCAGAAGATAGGCCTGGCAGCTCCCTCACCTCGCTGATCAATCAATCAATTACCCACCCACCATTTGTGTGCTCCTGTTGGTCTCTCAGGTCTAATCCACTGCTGCGTGCTCCAGCTTGGACAGCCCGAGGCAGAGACTGATGGATAAAAGAGGACCTATCCACACTAGACTTTTAGTCTAGAGTCTGACTCGGGAGGGGTAGGTCTCCTAATTTCTGGCCCTGGGCAATGCTCTGAAGCCCCTCTTTTATCACACTGGGCACATTGGGACCCTGGGCTTTGCCTGGTCCTTCGCAGGTGGCATCTTCCCCCTCCCACCCCCCTGACACCCCTCACTCACCAAGTCTGGGCGAGGTAATTGTGTTGACGTTTATCTTCTCATTGCAGACCTCTTGGTGGCACTGCCTGTAGGCCGCTGGCTTGGACAGGACAGGACACTCATTGCCGTGGCGCCCGGTGACTTTGTGCATACACTGGACCACGCGTGACTGGAGGCCCTTCCCACAGGTTGAGGAGCACTAGAGGAGAGAAGGCACTGAGATGTGGTCCAAGCAGAGTAGTTTCAAAATCACATACAAACATACACCTGAAAAATTACTGCTGGAGCCGAAGTCTGCAGCAGGCTGGCAGCTCCTGTGGGGCTGAGGAATCAACAACAGGCACATCATATCAGCCAGGGACCCTTCATACAGCTGTTGCACTTGTCCATGATGATTTTGCTGTGAGCAGAGGAACTGTCCTGTTGTCTTTCTGTCTGGACTTGCCCCGAGTCCATCTACACTGACTGTCCTTGTGGATATCCATGAGGTTCAAGCAGGCAAAAATGCAATTCCCTCCACAAGGAGGCAAAGCTGGAAATCGTATACTGCTTAATTACGGAGGAGCAGCTTCCACCTCCCTTTATATGAGGGACCCAGTGGTACTGGTTGCCTTGTTTTAAAAGCTCTCTCCAAGTCTTGGATGGTTTAACGAGGCTTCCTCCACAGACAAGATGACCACTGCCAGGCACTGATATAAGATAAAACAAAAGATTACAGCAGAGGCAGGCAGCTTCTACTGTATGCCCAGACCTCTAGGGAAGCTCTTGTTCCAGTATTCGGGAGAACACATCAGGTATTCAAGTACTCACTCTCATCTATCCCTGCTAACTGTCTGGCACTTGTCTGTCCTCCTGGGAGCAATTGCAAATCGTACTCCACGAGTTTTGGCTTCTATTAGCCAGGAGGCCCTGCCTGTTTATATGCTCTCTTTGTTGTCATACAATTGGAGTCCCTACTTCTCCCTCCCTCTTCCTCTGGCCCAGTCACTTGTGATTTACAATGTCCTACTTGCACGCTGTTCAGTTTTAATAAAGCAAACACAGTGAGGTTTACCAGCTGGAGTTAATAAAAGAACCTTGTATTTAAAATAAAGAAACAATGGGTTGCAGGACTTTGGTAAGGTTCCTATTTCTTGCTAAAGCCACACACAAGCTTGTGTGTGGGGAGAGGAGGAGGTGGAGGAAAACTCAGGAGATATAATTAGGATGATGTCAAAAAGATCATGTTTTCTCTCCTCTGCTGTTCCTGAATAAAGTCAGGGCAGTGGAGTCCTCTCCCTGAAAAACACTCTACAAAGGATGTGTATGTAGTGTGGATGCTTGTAAGACTGGGACCCAGTGGCAGAAGAACTCATGGATGTACATAGGCCTCCACCTCTCCCATTTATGGTTGAAAGCACAGTGAAGCTGTAGTCATTTTGTTCTGGAAGTCACAAAAGAACCTGCTGCTTCTCAAAGATCATCTCATACAAGTATAGCTTCTTCTGGGCTGGAGCTTCCAGTGGGAATCATTGAAAGGCCTGATAAAAAATGGCCTCAGATTAACAGGACCATGTAAAATTGAGCTGATGGAGTCCTGCTTCAGACAACCCAGTGCAGAAATACACCTGCACAATGTGAACTCTGTTTCTGTGTAGCAGGAGTTGTACGATCAGTGAAGCCTGTTGTCAAAAGTAACAACTCTTTATCTAATTTCCTTCTTTAGTCACTCACATTAATGACTGTTTAATAAACAGATTTCTTGCATTTGGTGTACTCATCAAATTTCTATTTGCTTTTCTTTCAGTTTCCCACCTATATTCCACCTGCTCTGTATTCCTATTCTTTCTCTTCGTGCCTTTCTCTAGGAATTCTCCGTTCAGATCAATCTCTGGATCAGATTCCTTCTGGACTTTGCCACTAAGCCACCCTGCTGTGCAGTTTACCTCTGTGTTTCCAGCTACGCAGCCCCTCCCAGACCCCATTATTGTATTCTGAAGGTAGCAGTCATGCTAAATTAATATTTTACATGTATTTTGGAACTTCTTTTTTTCAAATAAATAAGTGGGGTTTTCCTTTACATCCTTCTTATTTCAATTTAGGGTCAACACACTAGTTTACGACAGATTTTCTGTACTTTTTCAGATGCTGACTTTACACCAAAATTTGGTCACTGTCTGTTAATACCTCACAATGGTTATGGTATTTAGGACTATGCTGAACAAGCCCTTCCCTTGTATTCCCTCCAGTGAGCTATTTCAAAAAGTCCCTTATTTAAACCCCCTTCATAACTTGAGCTCCTGCAGTGAGATGTAGGCATTTCATTAGTCTTGGGTGTCCCTCTGCTCTTCCCAGAACTGTGTGCCCCCAGTGACTTCTACCAGCCTGGAAACCAGTCAGGCATGGCCAGTACATTTGGATTTAAAGTTAACAATTTTTATCCTGATAAATGCAACTATTAGGCCCTTCCACCTCAGTAGTCATATGCAACCTCTAATCCTCAGGATTTCAACGGCACTTTTAGTCTTTGGAGTGCTTTACTAATCTTAATCCTCACAAAACTCCTTGCAAGGGGACTGAATTGTACATCCATTTCACGAACAGAACAGCTCTTATCACATAGACATAAACCAATCCATTCAGACCATGGGGTTCCTTCACGTGATTGTCATATAGTGAGTCTGAAACCTCTGCCTTTTAGGCACTCCTTCTGCTTATGAATGCTCTTAAGAGAGAGGAAAAAATAATAAAAAAAAAAAGAAGAAAAGAAAGAAAAAAGCATTTTTCTCATAAGGCGAATAAGGTTTTCAGATACCAATATACAAACACTCACCTACCTTTGTCTGTGTTCCTGTCTCTGCATTTGTTAACCAGCAAGGAGGGCAAGCAATGAAACTTTTTCCACAGACACTGCCAACTCCAATCCTTAGACAAATAACAGCAGAGTTTTTGCCCGAAGCAGTTTTATTCCTTCTCCTGGGAGACTGGGATCATCACCTATGCTATGCAATTAGTTTTTCACAGCCAGGAAGACAGATTTTAACATCTTTCTTGAACTCTTTTGGGCTTGGCAGCTAAAGGAAGGTTGGACATCTGGCTTATTTTAAGATGAAATTTTCAACTCTGTACTTGGATAGCCTCTTTCCTAGGAATTTCAATAGGAAATAGGAATAGATACAAAATACATACAAAGGGGGAATTGTTACTCATGCTGCACTATGAAGAAAGGACATCATTAAAAGAGGCATAAAAATCAAACTCCAACTGAACAGTAAATTCCCATAAATACCTTTCCTCCTGCTCTGGATAGCTAAATGCATTGCTATGGCCTCTCTGCTCCCAAATATTTATGGAGCAAGTAAGTATATCTACGGAACAATTTTCAGGGCTAGGTTCACTCTGTGCCCTCTGATACAGGACCCTCAGACTTGGACCCAGGTTATGAGTAGTTTCAGTAAGGAAAGGTGCTGGGGTCTTCTTGCAAACAGAGGAACTTCCAGGCAGCCAACACTGCCAGGGGGAACATATCGCTTGTGGCAGAGTGTGGCCTGGGCTGTGGGGGCAAAAATAGTGTTACAGCCCAGCACCTCATCCAGCTTCTCTACAGCTGGTACAGCTCCACTGCACAGAACACCAGGAGGCTCCAGGGCCACATGGTGAAACTGCGCTGGTTGTATTTGAAATGGTGTTGATGGACAACGGACTTTTTTTGGGCAAATATTCAGTTGTTGCACTCCTATTAACAAAAATACTCTGAAAATCAGAAAAGCCTTTACAAGCATTGATGTAACTCTCAAGATACGCCCATGGTTTGATGCCACCCTGGGGTAAAGTGATCTGGGAATGTGGAGGACTGGGTTTGGGACCTGGTTTGGAGCTGCATGGATCTCTGCCTGCCACCAGAGCCACAGGCCTACTTTTGGGGAGCTTCTCCGAGCTGGGGACTCGAAGAAGTTGGAGAAGCTCAGAGAAGGTGGTTCAATAGAGATGCTGGTGTCAAACAAAGAAGTGGTTTTTTTCCCCTTCCACCTGGCATTGCCAGTGATATCACTATCAGAAAAACGCATACGCAAAATTCATGTAGTTTAACTATAATGCACTAAACTGACAATAAAGCCATTGTATATTGGAAATCCACCCCCATGCATAGATCAAAGGATTGTTCAGCACTGTAAAAAAGAGGGGGTTAATGAACAGTTTCAAAAAGTGAACCTAATGAGAGCCTTTGTAACTCCCAGTTCAAACACTGCTTGAGAAGGCAAAAGGAAGACAAAAATGCCTCCATTCACATTCTTTGGCAGTAACATGCAAGCCGGTGGGGATATCCAGAAGGAAATAAACTCACAAATTGTCAAGGCAGCAGCTGCATTCATCAGCTTAAAGAAGATTTACTTATTGAAAAACTCCAACCTTAAGACCAAGCTATGATTTTTCAACTGGAATGCTATTTCCACCTTAGGATACTGATAGGAAAGCTTGAAATCTACCAAAGGTGCTGACAGATGTCTAATTGCTTTGAAAGCAAATGCCTCAGGAGAATATAAGGTATTAAAATAGAATGAATTTACAGTAAGTGCTGAGATCTGTCAGGGTCTTCATCAACTCCTGATTTACAAAAGATAGCCAGACAAGGAGAGGGGAATAAGAATGAATGAAGCCAGGGCAGGGCTGCTGTTGGGCAGCAGGAAAAATGCATGAGAGAGATCAATCCAAAGAATCCCTGCATTGAGGGCTAAATGGGGACAGAAAAAGGTACAGATTTACCACTGCAGACGACAGGCTGTGATCTGTACAGGACTGAATGGGATAATGAAGCATTGCTTTTGCTTTAGCTGAGGGTTGCTGCCTGGGCACGGGTGCATTCAGACCACATCACCTTTAAAAATGTCACTTTTCTAACCTCTAAGAGATAGATGTTAGTCTTTTTTGTAAGAACTTGATTTTTGCAGCAGGAGGTCATAGCATCCCTTCAGCCAATCCTGAAAGTACTCCAATATTTAGAAGGCTGATCTGTTGGAGGGAGATATAGTTCAAGATGACTGTCGTAACTAAGCTGAAGGCAAGATGTTTTTTTCTTGATTCATTGGCCTGCAGTCATCTGATGTTTAAAGATACTGGTTTGTCCCCAGTTTGCTGAAAGTTGCTGAAGCCAAGGACAACACTATGGCTAAAGCTCCAATATTCAGAGACAGAGTCATGCTTTACTGACTTCAGAGTTCA